GCTTTCTCATTTCTAGGAAAGCAAAGTTGAACATACATCGTTGAATATGTTATATTAAAATTATTTTGGATATACAAATCAGTAAGTCATGTAACAATCACTGCTGATATAAAGGCTTGTTGGAATGGCATATATCAGAACTATGTTTTGACATTGTTTGGCATGTTGTAGGTAGGAAGAGTATACAAGTTTGAATGGCATATATCAGAACTACGGTTGTATACTCTTCCTACCTACAACATGCCAAACAATGTCAAAACAATTCTTTCCAACACAATATGTTCAAATCATAAAGATGTGTTCACACTGAAGATTTAGAATTTCCAAGATAGGGATATCTCTTGTACTTATAGCAATGTAAAACAAAGGAATATGGATCAAATTTTGGAATCTGTGCAACAATTCATACCCCAGCCATGGTAAGCAAAGTGTGGCATCTTGTAACAGGTGAGAATTCACAAACACAGAGATCAGTGGTAAAAGCCATCCATGTGTCTCAGGCAACAGTATGCAACATAATCAATAAGAATGTCTAACTGGAAAAGTGTCACAAGTCACGTGTACACAAGATGCTTCCATGACATATCCCTCCAACTATCCCATATCTCAAGAAGCTAGATGATGAAACAGGTATTTCATACAAAGATATACTGGTCAAGTTGCTGGACACAACATCTATAGATTTCTCTGCAAGTTGACTGTTGAAACAGACATTGGGCACCCATTAACGTCATAAACTAGGTAGATTAAGGAGAGCCTTCAAAGAAGAGTGATATGCTTTGGACATGACAACAGTAAATTGCTGCTTTTTGCAATGGAAACTAAGCTACAGTGATTGATTAAGATGCATGAACATCAGATAGAATATTGGTGGATGTGACAACACTAACTGTAACGACATGGCGAGGCTTTGAAATCAGTTTAATATAATGTATTCAACCTTTGCATACAGTTAGTGAAAGAACTGGAGTTCCTCTGTATGAAACATCTGGTCTTGTTCACTTGCAATTGAGGAGTAGAATTCCCCCAAAAGTAATCTAACTCAATGACATATGGCATATCCATGACTACACTGCATATCTTCCGATATCTTTTTGTATCAAAATTAACTTCAGTCTTCAGTAGTGACTCACATAATGATTTAATCTGATTTCAAAATTTCTTGCTATTAGACATATAGAAAAAGGTATTTAACCTTGCAAAGATACAGGAACTAAATTATACAATGGTTTATAGTTTATATATATTGAATAATCATAAATCACACAATGGTTAGTTTACATGTTGACTGATCAGTATAACGTATTAAGTAAACAGAAAAAATAATCATATTAATTGTCTTTAGACTATGATAATAGAAAAAAAAACTTTAGTAGCCGTAACTTAAAGAATGTTAAAAAGTGTTTTAAAAAAATTAAAATACTCATTCTTTCTCCTGTACTGTCAATCAGTGTAATTCGTCAGTCTATTATGAGGCCAATATGATGGTATCAAATATATATATATAGAAAATGGTGCAAAAAAGGCTTGATAATTAATTAACATACTGGTTAATCTACTTCTACATAGCTTTTATGCATAAAATAGTGCAGTACATCTTACTATTAATTTCATTCTGCAACTTAGGCACGATAAGACTTTTGGTGGATTAATTATTAATAACTCACGTAGGTTTTAGCACAACTATTTGATTATTTGTTTGTTTTGATATTCACACAAAGCTACACAAATATCAACTGATTTGTTGTCCCTAATTTTGAACTGACAGACTAGGAGGCAGACATTTAGTCAACAGCACCAAACACCATTTTGGTTGCTCTAATCATATATTAGGACTTGCCTGTCATTCCTATAATACACCCACAGTCCCAAAGAGCAGAATAAAACTTGAAGAAATGAGATGTGAAATTACAACATTACTAAATATTGGAGGTTAAGAAAATATTTTCCTTCTATATATATACATAACTGGTGTTGTTATGCTTGATTGTTTGTTTTGAATTTCGCGCAAAGCTACACGAGGGCTATCTGCGCTAGCCGTTCCTAATTTAGCAGTGAAAGACTAGAGGGAAGGCAGCTAGTCATCACCTCCCACCGCCAACTC